GCGCCCGCTGCCCCGCGCACTGCGCCTGCGCGCCCGCCGCGCAGAGCATGCCGGGAAGTGCCTTCTGCCGGCGCCGGACTACAACTCCCAGCGGGCAGCGCGCCCACGCTCCGTGCCCTACAGGGGAGAGCCAATAGCCGCACCGCTTACGGCCCGGCCTTGCCTCCGGAGACCAATAGGGTGAGGACTTTCTGCGGGCGAACTCCCTGCAACCAAGATGGCGCCTCCCGCTCGGTACTGCGTCCCCGGTGAGTGCAGGCCCGGGCTGCTCGGGGAGAGGCGGTAGGGTGCCCGGGGTAGGGGGAGCATGGCAGGGGGCGGCATGGGGCTGCGGGAGGGGGGGGTTCGTCCCCGGGGGTGCGCAGGAAAGGACTGAGCTGGGGCTGCCCCGCCGCGCAGGATCGGCCGGGAGCGGGCACTGTGGCCGGGGTGCAGGCAAGGGCAGGCCTGGGGCGGTGCGGAGCCTGGGACCCCCGGGAGCGGGACCTGGACGCACGGCGCCCTGGCAGCGTCGTCCCCTGAGCTCCTGTCCCGTAGGCGAGCGGCTGTGCAGCACGGAGGAGGCCACGGCGGGCAGTGGGACTTACACCCGGCACGGCTTCATCTTCTCCTCGCTGGCTGGCTGCCTGGAAAAGAGGAGCGAGGACAGTGGGGTGAGTGCGGACACGGCCCGTGCTCTGCCCTTCCCCGGAGCTGGCCGCCGAGGCCGGGCAGCCCCTTCCTGAGTGGGGAATTGGGCTCCGAGGGGGCTCTGCCGGTGCCTGCTGTCAGCTTGGTCCCGCCTGATCCTGTGCATGGGCTGTGTCCCAAGCTAACCCTCTCGTCTGCTGTCCCACAGCTGCCCGTCGTGTCGGTGGTGAGAGACGCCGAGTCCCAGCTCCTGCCTGACGTGGGGGCCGTGGTGACCTGCAAGGTGGGAAGCCGGAGTGTGCTGCAATGGCAGACTGCTCAGCCTTTGCTCTCTCTGCCTTGAGCCGACCTCTGTTCCCGAGCGCGTCTGGGGTGGGATGGGGAGCCCCTGGGGCTCGTTCATACCCTCTGTACAACTCCCAGCAGAGCCCAGTGGCTCCCTTGGGTCCCTCGCTTACAAAGCAGCCAGATATTGGCGTGGGGGACGCCTGCCTCTTGACTTCGCCAGCCCTGAGGCTCAGGTGGGCAGAGGGGAGGTTTGTCTTTGCTGTCCCTTCCAGAGCTCTTTCTGGGGCAGGGTGCATGGAGGGTAGTGCCTGGGGCAGCTTGGAGAAAGGTGGCACAGACCAGGGATTAGTTTCCTTACGGTCCTGGTGGTGGGAGAGGGACTGGGATCACAGCTGGTCTTGACCTTATTCGTCTGTCTTGAGTTGCACAAGTATCATATTCCTTGCTCAGCTCACTGCCGGGTGTCCCACCTCCGCCACCACTACTTTGGTCACAAGGAGGAGGAGGAGGCAGCTGAGTGAGACATGAGCTCCCCGCATACAGCCCCGTCCTGCCTGCACCCTGCCCTTTCCCTGCCTGGAGCAGGGTGCACTGGGGTGAGAGCAGGCCTGTGCTGGCACTGATTCCCCGTTTCCTCCGGGCAGGTTTGCAGCATTAACTCCCGCTTTGCCAAGGTGCACATCCTGTACGTCGGCTCCACGCCACTGAAATCCACCTTTCGGGGGACCATACGGTAGGGAGAGGGCTAGCTTCCCCACAAGATGGGGTGCCCAAGCGCCCCATCCTCGAGGGGGGAGGAAGGCTCTTCTGGGTGGCGCGGCCAGCTGCCCTGGCAGGAGCTCTGCCCCAAGCACTGGGCAGGTGTCCAGCAAGTCCTGGCGAGCACCCAGGGAGGCCAGGGCAGCTCCTGCCGCAGGCTGGAGAGTCGCCTTCGCTTGCTGGCACTCAGATCCCTCTGTCTCCTTTTTCAGGAGAGAAGATATTCGAGCCACGGAGAAAGATAAGGTCAGTGAGGCACTGCCAGTGACTGTGCTACCGCAGCTGCCCCCACCTTCTGCTGGTGGGGGACACTTGTCCTGCCGCTGATGAGCACATCGTCACGCTGTGTGGTTTTGCCTGCTCTCTCCCGTGCAGGTAGAAGTGTACAAGAGTTTCCGCCCCGGTGACATAGTCCTGGCCAAAGTCGTATCCTTTCCCCTTGTGGTGCTGGCGGGGGGGACAGTGGGGTTTGCTGAGTCCCCGCAGGGATGCCTTTCCCTTAATCCCTGTCTGACCAGATCTCCCTGGGGGACGCACAGTCCAACTACCTGCTGAGCACGGCGGAGAACGAGCTGGGCGTGGTGGTGGCACGCAGCGAGGCAGGTAGGGATGGGCCACGGGCCCCAGGCTGGGATGGTTCTGCCTCATTGCTGTCCAAGGGGCAGCTGGTGCGGCCTCCTCCCTTTCCACATGGAGGAACGCAATTTTGGGAAGGGAAACCCCTGACATGTAGTGTTCCTAGGGGTGCAGATGGTGCCCATCAGCTGGTGCGAGATGCAGTGCCCACGGACACACACCAAGGACTTCCGCAAGGTGGCCCGGGTGCAGCCCCAGTTCCTGCAGACCTAGCAGCCCCCCAGGAGCTGCAGGGACTCTGCTGGGCTGGGGTCTGCGGGGCCAGAGCAGCCCCAGGGCTCCGGACTCCTCCACATCCGCAAGAGGCTGGAACAGCTGGACAGGCCCTCACTCACGGGATGGATTTTCTATTTCTGGATAATAAATATTTTTTGAGAGCTCCATGCTCTGCTCAGTTACAGCCCAGAGGGCTGGCCGGGGCTGCCTGCAGCACGCTGGTCTGGCTTCCCCAGCACTGTGGCTGGGAGGAAGCACGTGTTCCCAGCCCACTGACAGGGAAGGGGCACAACCCAGCAGCTTTGCCGCAGTGAGGCGAACAGCACAGAGCTCCAGTTTGTGGCTGGGCTGTGCTGGCTCCAGGCGCTTGCCTCACCAGGTTGGTTTCCCCACATCAGTGTCAAGCATGGAGAACAGCTTGTCTCCCTGCCCCTGCACTGATAACCGGTACAGGCTGCGGCTGCGCTCAACCCCCAGGGTGCTGCATCTCCTCCAGCCACACACACCCTGCCTGCCTCTTGCGGACAAGGGCGTGCCACACCCAGCGTCCTGAAACCACAGAGCAGTGCGGTGCGGCCCTCTCCGGCAGCGATTGCGGAGCTGTGCTTTGCTTTCCCCCAGCCCATCGGGCCTACCGTAACCTCACGTCTGCACCCAGCAGCAAAAGCTGCCTTGCACACATGTGATGACGGGACCCCGAGGGAGGTGCCGGGTGAGGGAGGGAGCCACACGCCCAGGAGCACATGGCCCAGGAAAGCGCAGACACCTCGTTATTGCGCATTACTCCTTTATTGAACTGGAACAAGACAGCTGCTATGGTTGGACAGTTACACTGACCCCGTGCAAGCCCAGGCTCGTGGTGCCAGCAGAGGGGGAGGCCACAGCGACAGGGCCACATACACACACACAGGATGGGGCACAACGGCACCTGCTTCACCAGCAGGACTAGGATGGGCTTTGGCTGGGGGAAGTGTGTGGCAGACACAAACCTCTAAGCACCCCGCTCCCTCCCTCGCCCTTGTCCAAAGGCAATAATTTAAAGCAGGGGCTGGCAGAGCTAGGTCCAGAGTCGTGAGTACCACCCTTGAGTGCTGTACCACATGCACCAAAATACAACTCTTTCAGTGTTTACACATCCCGCTCCTTGTGCCACACACCCACGAGGGGATGGGGTACCCACCTTGGTCACTGCCTGCGCTGCGCTCGCCCCACTGCTCCCGGGATGACTAAATCAAGCAACAAAACTACAGTAACCGGATGACGAGAGCTGTTGGGGAAGCAAAGCAGAGGAGGAGCCTGGCACTGCGAGGGATCGCTCGGCTCATCCCCCTGCAGACGGGGCCTGAGGGCTGGGATCTCAGCATGGAGAGGTGTGCGGTTGCTGCCTGGCAGAGCCAGAGCTCCCTTTCACACCAGATCTCTGCATGCGCAGCCCCTTGCCCCCGGGCCCCCAGGCTGTCTGCAGAGGGGAGCCTGGTCCTGAGGGAACGGGCCTAATCCTGGGGAGCTGCACCAGCTCTGCAGCTCCAAGTTCCTACGGCTGTGGGGGGTGTGCACAGAGGGGTAGGGAATGGTGGGGGGCTTTACTACGTGCTAGCCTGCTGCCCGCCCTCACTTCTTGACCTTGCCCTGAGCAGCAACGGCCTCCATGGCCTTGCGCACCGTCTCCTCATCCCCCAGGAACTGCATGGGCTTGATGGGTTTCAGGTTCTTGTCCAGCTCGTAGACAATAGGGATGCCAGTAGGCAGGTTCAGCTCCATGATGGCCTCTTCCGACATGCCTGCAAACACAGAGGTGCCGTCACTTGTGGCCCCGCTCACGCCGTGCCAGCTGGGGCAGTGGGGAGAACCCTAGAGGGCTGACGTACCTTCCAGGTGCTTGACAATCCCACGCAGGCTATTGCCGTGGGCAGCAATAAGGACTCGCTTGCCCTCTTTGATCTGTGGGACGATTTCCTCATTCCAGAATGGCAAAGCCCGAGCAATGGTGTCTTTCAGGCTCTCACACGTCGGCAGCTGGTCCTCTGTCAGGTCAGCGTAGCGACGGTCCTGGGGGAATGGCCATGCTCACACAGCAGCCCATTGCAGTGTGGGAAGGCAGTGGCAGGGCTTTCATTCCCCCCACCCCAAATTCTCTGCCCGAGAACCTGCTACATGTAGGCAAAGCTGGGCTTGGAAGCAAAAAAGTGCCTTTGAGGTCTGAGCCTGTGCTCAACTACAGCTGGGGCTCTGAACCCCTCCTAGGGAAAGCCGCACATCGCTTGCTCTGGGTGAAGAGACCAGAGCAAACATCCACGCACGGGTCATGGGACTAATGATTAACAGAGGTATCATCCCCTCTGCTTTGAATCTGTCTGCTCAATGCACAGGGGTTCAACTCCCCAGGGAAGGAGTGGGACAAACTCAGCCCAACACCGACCAGCACCACGCACAACAGTCCTGGCTGCTGCAACAGACAGAGAAGACCTTGCGAAGGGAGCCAGACCACACTGCAGCGACCTAAGGTGGCTTTTAGGAGCCTCCCAGCAAGGGGGACGAAGAGCAACGGGTCTTACCTTGCTGATGGTGCTGTAGAAGGGGTGATCGGACTGCATGGGAGGTGGAGGGATGTCGTATGAGCGCCTCCAGATCTTCACCTGCGCCTCGCCGTGCTTCGCCGCCGTCTCAGCCTTGTTCAAACCAGTGAGAGCCCCATAGTGCCTCTCGTTCAGGCGCCAGGTTCGGATAACGGGTAACCACATCTGATCGATGGCATCCAGGACGGTCCAGAGGGTACGGATGGCCCGTTTCTGTACCGAGGTGAAGCAGATGTCGAACTCGTAGCCAGCATCTGGAAAAGACCGGGGAAAGGGTGGGGGCAGGGGACAGGACACCGGGGAAGTGAGTGCTGGGCCTTACGCAACCGGTGAGGGGCCAAGGGCGGCAGCCTCACCGCGCCGGTACCGGTCGCGTCCCCGCCG